AAAACTATTTAACCTTGGTGTCGAAACTTTCTTCATAACAATATGTAATGATACTGAGTTATTGCAACTAATATTGAGGGTGCGGCCGCTTTAAAGGAGTATTATTGCTATTGTACTAAACTTTGAGCGTTAGAGTTGTTTGGTATAGCTGCGCTAGGCTGCAGTTCACCTAAGAGCTATAACTGTTAACAAATAATTTGCTCCATCATTATATTTGCTGTAATTTTTAATAAATAATAAATCGGCATCAAATTTACTTTTAGGTATCCAAACTCTTCCTTTTCCAAATTAACGAATAGCGGGTTTATATCGCGTATACACATCTTGTGTTAATTTCTTGATCTCTGTCAAAGGACAGTTAGAATGATTAAAATAATTGTTTTCTAAGTTTCAGCCTAATATTATTTTTAATTTGTGCCTTCCAATTAGGTAGTTTACCATTCTCTATTAATCTTGATTCTAGATATTTTATCTCCCTATATATGTTGGTAAAATCCCCTTTTATCCCTTACCTACGCTACGAAACATGGCAAAAAGGTACCAATATAAAGGCATTGTTATTAATTTCCAAGATATTAGACATACTGCATAAAATTACTTCTGTTTGGAAATTAAGGTTTGAAAATTAAATATTGGAATATACTACGAAATAAATATGGGAATATTCTCGTAAAAACAACCTGTGGTTATGGCAACTGTGCGTATTATGACGACCATTGTGATTAGAATGCGAGTAATTGTATTCGCATAACTTCTAAACAGGGAAGTGAATCTCCAAAGGAAAATGAACAAGTTCATATTATATAATTTTAAAAGTTGCGTCCTTCGATAAGCCTGAGATGTTTGAAATGATCTTTGAAGATCGTAATGGATACGTTACTTTGGTTTAAAATACAGTGTTTTATATATATTGGGTTTTAATGTGAAAAATAGGGCACTATTATGTGATGAAATGTCCTATTGTTGGTGACAGTGAAAGAGAAATGAGCTATTGTACAGTGGGCCTTATTCAGTCCTCCATTGCTACAGCTCTCTGTAGCACAAGGGTAAAGAACGAAGAAATAAAGTAAAATTATTCGATGATTAGACACACTTTTTCTCCCTTTCAGAATTTACTTACATTATTTAAATAATATAATATTCTTATAGGAGTTAAAGCAGCAAGACTCAGCCTAATTTGATTAGCCTCAAACAAGCTTATTTTTTTGCTAACGTTTTCCATGTGATGTGCTCCACGCTGTGTTTTTGTACTAGCATTTCTTCCTTCCGTATGTTTACACTATTGGATTAAAATTTTCCCGCATGAGTTTCGTTGGTTTATTGTTTACCCTTTTTTGCATTAGAGTGTTTTTAATTTTTTCTTATTTAAGATTTTGCTTACCTGATTTAATGCTTGCTTGTTCCTAATTTTTTATTTTTATTCACTTTAAGTATCAATTTGTTTAAATGTTTTAGGCTTTACTATTGATTAGTTACATTACTTCTGATTTTAATTCTTCATTTTTTACCATGCTTCAACCATTTATCGTTTCACAAAATTACGCCCGAAAGGACAGACATTTCTAAATCTTCATAATTTTTTATTAAAGTGTGAAGGTAAAAAAAATCGATCTCCAGTTTCATTCAGTTTAAACGTAATCGAAAACTTTCCACTCGGGTTTCAAGAATTATCCTAAATTGCAAAAACCAGCTTTGCTTAGGTCCATCTTAGCGACACACGTCGACAGTTATCCAAAATTGAAATTGAATTATATAAGCATCATCTGGAACTTGCTAATTCATGTCTAAAATTCGCTGTCTTTGAACAAAAGTCCTAGTCTAGAACTGAGAATGCAATTAAACGTCATAAAAATACCCTTGCATTTAAATTCCAAAACCTCTTTTCACAGTCTTTAATTATTTTTTTTTTAAATCTTTCTATTGTAAACGCCAAGTCAATAGTTAATATTTCTAATGTTAGTTTATCAGAGGAACAAAAGAAAATTCTAAAATGTAATTTTAAATTCCCATAAACTCCAAACTTTAGATTCTAAAGATTATAGCTCATAACAAAAAAGCTTTCAAATTTAGTAAAGTTTCGGGTATACAGAAAGAAATGATTAGGCATCTTATCGCCGATAACGTGAAATTTAACCGTAAACCTTTGACTCCTAATCTAAATGCGAGAGAGATAAACTGCATTACGCGAAATTCATTGCAATCCAGCTATTATCATTTCAAAGGCCGAAAATGATGGCCAGATAGTCGGTACTGGACAAAAACACTTACACCGATAGAGTCGCTTAACAAAGGCCTGTATAAATCTGACCCCTAAAAACCCTTCAGCTTCGGACTTCTCTTAAAACAAACGTGTGGTTAAATCTTTACAAATACATCCGATCCACTTTAAAAAAATTGCTTATCCCATCTGTTGCGAATTGTGCCAAATTATATACTCTACCCAAAATTCACAAGTGTGGTATTCCGTTCAACCTCACTGTATCAAATTTACGCAGTGCCTTGCACTCGTTAGCTAAATATTTAATTTCTATATTTTCGAATTGGTTAGTTAATAACACTTACACCACACTATAAAACATTCAGTAGAGATTATAAAAATAGCAAAAAGCATTTCTCCTAGAAATTTCCTTATAGTGTCTTTTGATATAAAGTCATTATTCAACGAGGTCCAGTGGAAGGTGCACTTAAATGCCTAGACACAAACTTCAAGAATTTCATTTCTCCTCTATTAAAATTGATGAGTTAATTTCCCTTACTCAACTCTGTCTTAAACAAACACATTTTGTTTCCCAAAATAAGCATTACAATCAAACTGCAGAATTAGCCATGGAAAGCCCTCTTTGCCCTGTCCTTGCTGGTGATCTATAAGCATTATTAGGAATCAAAATTATTTGAAATTTTATACCCTCTTGTGGGGTTCCGCTACGTTGCCGATGTGTTTATCTTGTTTGACGGTAATAAAGATGATTTAAATAAAGTTTTTTGATAATAAATACCATTGATCCTGATATTCAAAGTACTTTTGAACTAGAAATATCCAATTATCTTCCGTTCCTACACAACTTGGTCACACGCAATTTATCCAACTTCAGTTCTACTGTTTACTATAAACCTTCAGCTCTTTGCCTTTCCACCGCACTGCAAATTATGCCATTCGACTAAATAGAAATCAGCTTCATTTCATTCCTTCGTTTTCTGTGCACTACAAATTTGCTCCTCCAAATCAGCTCTTGACTAAAACCTAAATTACTTTAAAGCAGTTGCTACTGACAGAAGCTTTTCATTTAACAATACTGACAAAGCGTTTAAAAATTCTCGTCTCAACACATTAAGAATACTCCCACTCGTTTAAGGACACATCCCTCTCGTTTTAGGAGATTATAAGAATTTTGTTGTCATTCCTTTCTTTCTATTGATTTGGTATAAAATTGCATATATTTTATCGAAATTAAATTTTTGGATCGTTTTCTCTTCTGTCAATAAAATTTCACAGTTCCATACTTAAGGATCTCATTCTGGATTTGATCTACTGTGGGATATACGGGATTCCTTCCCAGTATGGTTTAATTTATATTGGTCAGATTATGAGAGCCTTAAAATTTCGCATTAAGGAACATGAGGCATGTGTTAAGGAAAAGGAACACATAAATCTGCTATTACCTAACACTGTTGGTCATAAAAATCCCATTTTCCAATTTTCTACAACCAAAGTTATTCAAAAAACAGCTTCTGTTGGCGAATTGGATTTTCTACAGCCGTTTCACATTTATAAAAATCTTTCTGTTCTAATTAACGAACCCAATTCCAATCCGTCTTGACGCTCAGCTTTTATGGAAATTATTTTACTTAATATTCCTTATAAAAACTGTGCAATTTATCAGAATTATACTTTGAAATAAACGAAATTGTAATGACAATAAATGACACACTGAAAGCTATAAGAACATTTACCCATTTCTAGCTATTTTACTATGACAACATATTAAATTACACAAGAAAAGACGATAATTAGAATATTCTAATTAAACTAGAATGTCACTTGAAACAATAATGTAATTTAAGATTTACCTCTACAGAGTTCGTCAATTATTATTAGAGACTTTTCTGTAGCATGTTGAAGAATGTAATTTACTTCTTTCATCTAGTAAAAATAAACAAAAATTGTGATCAAAAAGGAAATAGCAATGAAAAAGGGCACTTATTTCTTACTTTAAAGTATCAATTTTTCTCAACAAATCATAACTTTAAAGTTTACTTGTAATATTAAATGAAAAAAAATCAGCATATAGAAAATTTTTCAAAATTAAGATAGCTCAGCAATACAGCTTCAAACAATAATATAAGTATTGTACAATAATTCAAATGAATTGTAGTGCACATTTAAAATAAAGAAGATAGTAATTTAAATAGCACCTGTAGCATGAAAGATGAGTAATTCTTTTCTATATCATTATTGGTTCCCAAACGAGATAAAATCTGATCTGCTATCCTAAAGGATGCAAATTCAGCAGGGACGTAAGAACCCATTTGAGCCATAATTTGTAGAACAGCTATTTGGTTCAAATACGTACTTTTTCCACTCTAAAGAGAGTAAAAAACACATTTTGATAAAAAAAAACTCATATATTAATCATCAACAGCAAAACAGTTAAAAATGAAATGAATAAATAAAGTATAAAATTACTACTATATTTTTTCAATATTCATTTCAGAACCAAAGTTATCCCAATTTTATTTTGTCTTTGAATGATGAGGTTTTTCTTCAGACTCAACATATTTGATTAAGAATACATATTTCCTAATGATGCTCTTCATCCATTTTTCTGACGGCTAAATATACATTAAAAAACTTGCAAGTACATAACACTGTAAAATTCCATTAGGAATTATCTTTATTATAAACTAAACTCCCATTATTATAAACTACCTAAAACTACTCATTTCGATTTCTAAAATTACAAAATTTCTATAACACTGCATACCATAAAAACTTTCGAAATTTCATAACCAGCATCATAGTTACTGATCAGCCTTTGCGTCTGTTCCTTTCAGATCCGAATATTTTTTTAACTCATGACATAATAAAACATAAATATTCTAACATAAATCTTATCTTGGATCTCCTGTCTTCTTTATGAGTTTCCCCTTTCATTATTGATTTTTATATTATTTTAAAATATTTTTTGTACATACAAAAAAATTCAGACTATCCGAGGAAAGATTCGTAATGTTATTTGGTGAGTATTTGCAAACGTAAAGCTCTGTTTTTCTTGCAATTCGTAAAAACACTACCGTAAATATTATACAGTGGATAAAAAAAATTCGCATAACATTTCTCATCTGTTTCATTTAAACTTCATGGAAACACTATTTTTTTCAGAAAAAAAATCAGAAATTTTAAATCAGAAAGAATACATTAACATTATTTTGACGCTGATAATGCTGAGGAGTGGTAAAGAAGGAATAAAAGTGGTAAAGAAGGCATAAAAGAAAGAACACTTAATAAATGAAAAGGTAGAAAAGGTAATAAGAAAAATTATTTGTTTTTGTTTTCTTTCATCAGTTTCTTTTAAATTTTAAATTTGACCATTTAAAATGAAACTCTAAAAAATGTTGTAAATGTCAAATGTGTAATAAATTATGCAACACACAAACAAAAAAAAAAAAAAAAAAAAAAGAGAGAGAGAGAGAGAAGAAAAAGAAAAAGTGAATAGGAAAATGTGTTTTCTTATTTTTATAGCATTAAATCCTAAAGAAAAAAAAAGCATTCAATGACATTTAAAGGAACTTAAAAATGATTATTTATCATATAAACTGGCACAGTTTTTATAGGCGTATTTTTTATCCGAAATACTTCAGACTTTTCTTTGAAATTAGTTTCAGCTATTTAAACTAGCGTCGGTCCACATTTTTTAAATAACTGGGCTCTGCTTAATTAAATTATCATCATCTAACCTAATATTATTTTGGTAAATTAAAATCGGCTGTACCAAAATTTTGAACAATTTCCTAAATTTGGCTATTTGAAAATTTAGTCTAATTCTAAATACTTAATTTTTAATTAAATTATAACACTTATTGCAAAATTTATCATTTAAAAATAATAATTAAACAATACTGTAAACAAATTAAATAGATAATGTTTAACATAATTTTAACGTACCATGTTTGCTCCAGTCAAAACAATGAAATTCATATCTCCACACATAAACTGCAATATTGAAAAACTTAGTTACTTAATGGCATTCATAAAAACATATTTATACGAATATGTTTTAAGACTTACGGCATTGTTTGGAATAAATGTAGTTCCGCAAATCTTTTCAACAACAGGGTGCCTTCCATTTTTGATGGCTAATGTTTCTGAGAATTCAGGACGAACTAATAAAATTAAAATAAATGAAATTAAATGTGTTGTAGACAAAAAAATCTTTTCATCTTACAACTATAAAAATACAAAGAATCCCCTCTTAACAGGGGCGAATTAACCTGAGTATTAAACCAGCCTTCTGTACAAAAAGGTTAAGTTTATTTATTGTGGAATGATGGAAAAATCACCATCAAAAAGCATCAGAATAAAGCAAAATTTCTTCGGGAAATACCAAAGCCAAAAGAAAAATGCTTGGAAAGCAGCAGTGATAACAGTGAAACATTAAAAAAACACATAATTCAATCACTTTTAAACCAAAATATGCACAATTTACAAACATAAAAATAAAAAAAAATCTAAGCTCATCGAGCCAGTTAACAAAATATATATATATATGATTGGTGCAGCCGATTGCAACGAAAAAGGGAGGTACACAGCTACATGTTATAGCAGTCCCATATACAAAATTTCAACGCTCTACTTCTACTCGTTCTTGAGTTACGCGAGGTACAAACGTACGGACGTACGTAAGGAAAGACGTCAAAGGAAAAAGTATGTTCTGAATCCGTTTTAAATCCACTTTACAATCCTTTTTGTCAAAAACAGTCCTTTATTCTGTCCGTTCGTAAAGGTATCACGCAAGAACATCGTTCAAATGACTTGAACGATGAGAGCAGTTGAAATGGATATTTTCGTTGAAATTATGATATCCGAAATTTTTCACAATTACAATACTTCCTTTAGTTCGTACAAGGAAGTAAAAACAACATCAATTTTTACTTCATTGTAGGAAATTGTAAGGTTTATTCTAAGTTTTAAACAGCTATTTTTTACTTAAAGCCACTTTCCTGTCGTTTCTAATTTCAGCTTACAAATTTCCTGCCAGAACGTGTTTTCAGAATCGCGGTTAAATGCAAATGAAGGAAGAGCAAGTATTTAAATTTGAAGTTCCACTGACTTACAGAGAGAGAGTTAGAGAGCCAGAAATTCTGACCAGCGCGCGTTCGCCTTTTGGCTGTACTCTCTCTAAGCTATTTCTGCGCTCGTCCGTTTTTAGGCCCTTGATAGCTTCGCCGTTTAGTTAGCGCTAAGGGACCAACTCCTGTAGAATTTTGATAGCTTCGGCTATATCTTTTTAGTCATCTAGTTAAGTTTTATTTTTCTTAGTATTCTTGAACAACACTGTAAACAATACTGTATGAGCAATAAAGAGTAATTAACCCTAAGTTTAAGTTTCTATCTTTCTGAACTAAGCGATTATTCGCTTACCAGTTCTCGAGGTTCCATAGATTTAGCTGTAAATTCTAGGTTGGAACATTACAAAGTAAAGGAAGTTTTTAAATGGAAAAAATTTCGGGTATCAGGTTTCGACAAAAATACCATTTTGACGCTCTCGAATTAATCTGAACAATTTTTTTGGGTGACATTTCTACATATGGACAAAATAATTAATTCTTTTTCCCAAAACCGATTGTAAAATGGGTGAAGGGATTTTTTCCGTGACGTAAGTATGTATCTCATATAATTCAAAAACGATTAGCCGTAGAACGTTGAAATTTTGTATACGAGACTGCTGTAACATTTAGTTGTGCACCTCCCTTTTCTGTTACAAAAGGGCTGTTACAACTTCACTCTCTTACCCGGCTCAGTCAGCTCTGTATTTTTATTCGTGTTGGCAAATTGTGTAATTTCTGTTGTAAAAGTGATTGAAGCATGTTTTTCTTACGTTCTGATTAAAGTCTTTATGTCTTTAATCAGCATACAGTAGTTGCAGAATTATCAATAATTTAAAAACGTAAGTCACACTTGGCCTAACGTGGCGGCGAATTGTTTACATTTGAAATTCTTAGTACAGTGGAACCTCAAGATATGAGTTTAATTCGTTTCAGTATTGAGTTCATATAGCGAATTTCTCGTGTCTAGGAACAAACTTCCCCATTGAAAATAATGGAAATCCTGTTAATCCGTTCCGCACCCTCAGAAATATCAATATAAAAATAAATTTTTCTAATAAATAACACTGGCAAATAATATAACCATGGTTTACCTTTGTGATAGCTTACAACACCGACCTTTTAACTTCTTCGCGTTAATTCACACCAACAACAGCTTCTCAGCATCTTCTAGGAGTTTGGGACGGTGCTTGGAAGAAACGGTAACTCCTTTGGCTACATCAAGTTTCTTAATTTCTTCCTGCTTCTTCGGAATAGGGCAAATCGTCGATGTCGAAAGGACGTAAGCCTTCGCCAATTCCGACACTCTTACACCACGCTTGTTTATCTATGATTTCTTTCTTAATTTCAACGTCCATGATTCCCCCCCTTTTTTTCCCCAGCTTTATCTGAGGCAAGAAGCTTTTTGGAGTACATCGTGAAATAATTATTTTCACGTTAAATGTAATAAACAATTGACTCAGTGCTCCATAACCAGGACCCTCGACCTGGTATTCCTTGCGAGGTTAGATATCCGGGTGATGTAGGACCTCTCAGTGGCGGCGCAGGCCCCACAGTCCCTGCCCGGCTTTATGCAAAGCCTCAGCAGGACGAAGTTAGAGAATGTCGCTAATGCGAGTTGAAAGATGAAACGCTAAGACACCTTTGCCTCAGGGCACCACTCCCTCAGCATTGGAAAAATCAAATTGGTGCCCTGCCTTACTATGCCAGTCCCCGTCACTGGAACTCTGAGGGCTGAACCCCCAGCGAGAAGGCCACAAAATTATCTACTCTATAGCTCTACCACAGCCAGAGGAGCAGACACGACAGTACCAGTACGGTCCCTGCCAAGCCTGAACCAACCTGAGTACAATACTCGGGTTCTAGTCCTGTGAAGTCAAATTATTTACCCCCGTGGTTGAGACTGCCTAGGTACAGATCCTAGCCAGTACTTCCCAGGCGTTCGCCTGAGTCAACCCCCGGGGGGAAACAATTGACTCACAAGCGCTCAAACACACGTAGATCAAAGAATACCGATTGATCTGACAAGGTGATTCCCCGAGTCGAGCCGGATTGGGAAATGGCGCCACGCATACCAACAGCCTGGTTCGTTCTCGTTACTCGGGTCAATGCTCGTATGTAGAGACAAATTTTTCGCTCACACTTTACTTGTATTTCGAATTTCTCGTATACAGAGGTGCTCGTATCTCGAGGTTCCACTGTAGTATAATAAATTAAGTTAGTCGGTGCATCAATTTCAGTGTCTTTTTACCCAGTAGAACCAAAAGTTTACTTTAAATTTTTGTGCATTGAAAAATGTCTCTTTCTGCCCCTTGGCTTAATTGCTTATTTTTGCGTTGAAACCCTAATTTTAATTGTAAACATTTTCTTAAACTTTTTTTTAACTTATATTTGGTGTTTTAGGTTTTTCTGCAGAGAAATGAGAACTGAATTGAATGAATAAGAAATATATATCTAATGAAATATTCGAGGAAATAAGTTCAAATAAATTGCAGCAATATTTTTGCATAATTTAATAAGTTGTACAAGGAAGTCATATGTATCCACATCAGATTTGTTTAATAAGAAATTTATGATAGACAATCTTATAATTTATTTATTCATTCTTCACAATTTTTCAACTTTTTCAAAAATATTTTTTCACAATGCACGACAACTGTTTCAATCTCTGATTTAAAAAAATAATAATTAATTTGGTGCCTAAACATTACATCTTAATCCATTCGTTGAACTGAAGCGAATGAATACTTCACTTGAACTTAATTTTATGGGGATTACTATCGGGTGTCTTTTAGGATTTATAATCCAGGTAGTTCGGTTTTTTTTTCTTTGAAATATTGTTCCTTTTTGACTACACCATATTTAATATTACAATGGATGTTTTTCCTAATTACTTTATTAATATTTTTCAGCTTAAAACTCGTAGCTAACCTAAATGTATCGTGTTTATCGTGTAAATACATGTTTCATTCCTCTGGATCATCTGACACTTAAAATCGTTTTGAAAAAATTTCCGTGTTGTTGTTGTTGCTTATCCTCGAAAGATCTGAAATATGTCAGATCAGCTCCAGAAGGTTGTTGACCGTCAAAAAATCCTTATGGTTTTGTTGACTAAAAAGTCCTTAATACTAATTAATATTACAACACGTCCCAAATGAGTTCAGAGCTTTCCCTACATGCATTCGTACTTTCAAAAAACAACTATACACTCGTAAGAATAATAAAAAGGGGCCAATACCTAAGTATTAAAGCAATAAAAAGAACCGAAACTGAGTAATAAGTATACTACAAAAATGAACAAAGTAATCGAAAAATGCGATATAGCAACAGAAAACAGGTTCTTTTTATAATAGATAACTAACCTTTCTCGATCACTCTTTTTTATTATAAAAATTTAAAAGAAATTGATCAACAGAAAAAATTTAAAAATCATTTTGTGTAAGAGCCCCAAAACTAAAAATGTTGAAGCAAATTTGAAAGAAAACGAAATCTTACTATTTGAAACGCAGTTCTTCTAAACGGTTAAACTTTCGAAATGTCAGTAAACATTCAAACTGAAATGCGCGAGAAAATTAGGGCTGCCAAAAGCTATGTCGTTTCTCTGCACAGCTAGGTTTATGTATATATAGAGAGAGAGATGAATAAATACAAATGAACACACACACATATTTATATATATATAATACTTATACTCTTAATTCGTAGTTCTCTGTTAATTTGTATGTATATTTTGTAATTATTACATTTTATGTGAGTTTAATTTCAGTATAATGTGTCTAGTTTTCTTTTACTTTATTGGATATTGAATGTACTTCATATGGATTTGCTTTAGTATATTTTTATTTCATATACAAATTTCATATTTCATTTCATATTTCACAAATTTCATATTGGGGAGGCATTCAGAATTTTCGGGTTAACTGTTATAATTAAATAATTTAGAAAGGTTCACCACCTAATTTTGGATGAACAGAAACGCAGTCGTTTTCCTGGGGGAGGGATTCAATTGAATATGATCTACCTCCTCTTGATAACGTTGAATCAGATTTTGATTGTACTCTTCTCTTCTTCTTCTATGTTTTTTGTATTTTTGCAAATATCTGCAGTTTTCGGGAATTCTTTTGGTTTAGTAACAATTGGTTAATTATTTTACATCATTTAATGGGAATTTTGGATTTTTCTGGTATTGAATTTCATTTCTTTCATATCTTTGTGAATTTGGTTCTAGATTTCTTACTTTTTGTCTATAAATGAATATGAGTATACATGTTTATATTGCCACCACGAAAACTATCCTTTGGAAATTTTCATTAAAAAACTTACATGAGTAGCTATGTTTAGAAATATTTAAAGGTGGACGGATACTAGATTTTATCTAATTCGAATCCGACCCTTAAAAATTTCTCGAGTCTTACTTAATATTAAAAGTTTAATTAAAGCAAAATATTTTCAGGTATATTTTAATAAAAATAAGTTTAAGATCACATTTTTAAAACAGTTCTATATTTCAAGAGAGAATGCAAGAGAAATTTAATAAATGTTGTGTGCAACTAAAATTTTGAAATCTGAGTTTCATTTTCTCAATATGATTTGATAAAATATATCTGGGGAACAGTTACAATTTTTAACATTTTTCATAATTATTTAGTAAACATATAAATTTCTACAATAATCTTAAAAACTCCTTTACTTTAAAATGTAATACAATTTAAGAGATGATAGAGGCAACAACGAGATGACACTGGCGATTCGCCTACCACAGAAATTAGTCGTTAATAATCACATTTTTTCTAAGTGGTCTATTCTACAAAATGTCAGTGAATCTGATTTTAAGTTTTGAATTGATTTATTTAACGGTTAGGATATAAGGTATTTTTCCCGCCTTCTTAGCATGCCTTCTTGGTGTAATGGTCAGCACACTCGGCGCGTATTCGAGAGGTTCGAGTGCCGGAGAGGTCATTGCAAATTTTTCATGTCTCCTGCTTCCAAATAACCTAATGTTTCTACAAGGAATCCAAAGATTAGAATGAAAAAAAAAATAGAACGAAGCTTGCAATTTTTAAATCTGGTATCCATTTCAAGAAACGTGAAATTCGAGGATTTGAGCGGCCCAAACTTCAAAAAAAAATTTGCATGAGGCTCTAATGACACACTATCTCAGGTAATTTTCGGAGTAAAAGGTTAGATAATTCTGGTAATTTGACTGCAAGTAAATCTACTAGAAATGCTTGTTTGTTTTACGAAAAGACATACAAAAATTTAAGTTTCTTAAGCTTTTATTAAAGAGCATTAATTGTTATTTACATGACCAAACGTAACACAATTTTGAAATATATGTCTGGATTCATTTTCAAACAAGAACCGATCAACTGATATTAGCTCAACCGTTTAGCAACATGTTTTGCTCTAAATTAACATACTTAGTTCTAATTAACTTCCTTCACATAAATTTAATTCCAATACACATACGTAAAATTGTAACACAAATTATGAATAAAGTGCATTTTTAAAATGTCATAGCTTACCATTGTCAGAGAGGGTACAAACATGAGCAAGAGAAAGAAGAAAATCTATATATGATACGGCTTCTGTTAGATTATATAAACATCCAATATGCTCTCGTATTTCAATAAGAACTTCATTGATTATGCTAAATAATCAAGAACATAAAATTTAATTCATTTGTATTCCGTAATTAAATAATAAATTTTTTAAATTATTTGAGCACAATAATTAGAAAATATTAAATATGTCACAAAATAAATTATTGCCCCCTAACTTAAACTGAATAAAAGAAGTGGCATGAAACCATTATACTGCAAGTGAAACAAGAGTAAAATTGATGACAACTGTACGAAATGGAATTGTACACAAATCTCAGAAACCATCGTTTATATATTATCACTCTCATCACTACTATCTCTTCTCAAAATTACTCTAAGGTGTTTTGCAAAATAAAAATTATTCAGCAATTTTTAATCCACTTTCAAATTAAATGTTAAGCATTAGAGCACTTTTAATAAACAATATAAATCGATTTAAAATGAGTTATAAATTATAATGAAATAACTTACATATCACTCATAAGATAAATTTCGTTCAAAGATTCTTTAATACGATCTGAAAATATTTCAGATATTTAGATAAACGTTACAATTTCAACATCAAGAAAGGAAGCAAATGAAATATATGGTTAAATTAGATTACTAAAAATAATAATAAATAAAATATATATAATATATCATATTAAATACGAATGAAATGTGTATTAAGTTTCCAAATCAATGCTTACCATTCAGTTTAATCTGAAACAAAAAAAAGCACAAATTGAGCATTACACGTTTTTATTATAACAGCTAAAACTAATTCTTACAAAATTTAAATAACATGCGTTCAAAAATTAGCAAAAATAGCATATAATGGCATATACTACATAATATATAACTACATAATAATATATAACTACATAATAAAAAATTAATTATAGTATTCCATTGTGAATACAAAAATATAGTTTCTTTTTAAATTTTCATTATACATTATCGATAGATTCTCTAATGATTATCATTGATACATTATCTTTCTCAGTCAACTTGATTTACCAGCCTCGTTTTGATCATATAACTGAACATTTATGTTCATGATATAAATTTCTCCTCAAGACTTAGTTTCAACTGAGCACGTTTTGCATCAATAAATTCATTAAATTTTACTTTATCCTATACTGTGTTCACTGAAACAGTTATGTTTCAGATATATATTGAGTTTTAAATATTAATGCACTTATTATTATTTTTCAATATATACTGACATTTATGGGAAAAAATGGAGAAAAAGGTATTCTGGCAGAAGAAAAGAAAGCTTCATAATAACTTACCAGATCTTCTGTCGTACAGGTAATCCAATTTTTACTCTTATTGACCTTCAAAAATATTGCAGGCAATTCTTTGTTTGGTGGCAAATGTTTGCACGGTATTTGAATAAAGAAGCCACGTGTAGAAGTATAGCCTAGTTGTAAAGGAAGTTCATGCTGAGTTTTCAACTGCTTTACAATTTCTGGAAACAAAGGTATGGCATAAATGTTTGAAAAAAATTTCATCACTGTACACATTAGATATTTCTTTCAAAGTGAGCCTAATCGATCAAATAAAAGCGCGGAGCACACTGACAAAAATTAAGAAAGCTATAACTCTGCAACTCTTCAGCGAAGCGAAACAGAAAGAAAAGGACTAATTATAGTTTAAAATCTGTAATTTCCTATTTTCCGTTGCTCTGAAAAGTGACAACATGAAGATATGCTACATAAGCTAGAAAGACCGTGTTTACTGCGTGCGTTCTGTCAGCATGATGCTTTTTTCACTAAAGAGGTTATCACACTTGGCTACAGTCCCTGCTAGACGGAACTTTTCTGAGAAACGAGATTCTAGTAGCATTGGTTTAAGAGGGACGATTCCTAGAAAAAAAGAGCCCCGCCGGAAACGAAGTCCTCCCTGGCTACGGAAACTATGTTGCGGCTACGCGGGATTTTTTCAAACCTCACCGAAAATGTCTCGGGTCAACCAATCAGACGAAAGTTCTGCGTCTGAAGGATCACGGGTAACTTTCGATATGGCGATGGCTGGAAAACCTCCTTGGCTGGAACAGCACGATCGTGGACGGTGGAAATAGCAGACTGATTTAATTATTGGCCGAAATTGTTGTAATATAACTGCTTGAGTCATTTTAAGAAATGTTTATATACTAATTAAATATATAATCGTTGGAACGCTTTCAGAGTAGACAGTATTTATGACGACGTTTATTTGCAATACTTTCGATGACTTGTTTACAAATTATTAGACGCCAAAAGGTCGCCAAATTCTTACATTTCTGCTGAGCGATCTGATACCGTGTAGAAATGTTAGCTTTACTATTGAATTTTATTTTATTAAATTTAAGGTGAACAATTTTTGAAAAATCTCTTTATATATGCACGACTTCACTTTTCTACTAATTATCTTTTAAACTGTTTATTGCATAATAAGCAACATGTAAACAACATCAAAGATGCCTGAAAAAAGGAAAGCATTACTTTTATAATTGATAGCAATACCTATTAAATTTGTGTACTATTATTTTTATGTTATTAATGAAATACTTTTTAGATTATAAATACATAACAAACTGTTGTAAGTTCTACATATTTGATACATTTCAATTGTGTGTATTACTGCATGCTTAAAAACATTTGTATATGCATTCTTTACTGTAAATCTCCTTCGTAATATTAATAGACATACATGAACAACTACAAAGCATCGTATCTTTATGTATATGTAAATATATGACTTATTAGATGTGTATTTATACGTTTATATGAAACATGAAAATTGGCAAAATGTTTATTTGAAGTCACTTCTAATTCATGCACTCAATGATCATGCAGTTGACAATTGTACTGAGTAGTCCTTTGCACATTATGCTGCTTATGTAATACACAGTTCAAAAATAACTGATGAACATCGATACTAAAGAGTGTACACTTTTTGTTTTTGGAGTAATACATTATTATATCATATGTATGATTTACATAGAATACACATGACTTATGAATAATAAGAAATTTAACAGCTATGTTTAATTTAACAGTATGTATAATATTTGGTCACTTAAACATACAGTGCACAACTCATTATTGCTTTAGCATGTAGTATCTATTTAAGGAATTTCATGGTACTTTCTCATTAGCCATCCTTCCTGATTTCAAAAGGCAGTAAAATTAACGTTTCTTCTCTTTAGCTTTAAGAATCGCCAGTGTCGAGAATATTCCATTGCATTTATTGACATGCTGTTGGAAAGAGACGTCGTTACTCAAATAAATAGTCTGCTTATTTTCTTTCAACCCAAATCACACTAAACACGTCTGGGACATTCTTGGCAGATGCTGTACAGTTCAGTTTCGAAGACTATTTTCCAACTTCTCGGATAGTGCTATCGCAAAAATTTATCAACAACCTTATTTGAAATACATAGGTGTGACACAAAACATAAATTTAGGTGTTCAAAATAGTCGTATCTCCAATAATCTCCATTTAATTGCTGAAAATACGTAGTTTTGTGATTTTTCCAACGTTTAGCATGAATATAAGCAAGTTTCAAGGGTGATATTTAAGTTTTACTAACAGTTAGTTTTATGAAGATTGTTTCCTCTTTTTTTTTTTCATTCACTCGCTCAGTCGCAAATTTTACGCTAAGCGCCGTAAGTTAAAATTAGGAGAAAATCGTCACCGAAGAATTCTGGTTGCTGGTGCTGCTGCTGTTTTAAGTAACCGATCAACCCAACAAAAGATCAACGCCTGACGTTATTACGTTTAGTAAGTGTTGTATGTTAATTGTGTTTTTCCATTCGACTCATACAAGGCCCACCAGTGGCCGAGCGTTAAAAGTAGTTGAAAACTGGTAGTGCGGCCCGAGGTTCGAATCCCACGAACGGGCTGGTGCAAGGGCGTTTTCGTGGTTTTCCCGATGTGTAACGTGTATACGAGCTAGTTTCCCTTAGAAAGCCCTTCACGAAGGCATCCTCGCCTTAAGCAGATAGCATCGAGGCCTTGCTATAATCTCATAAATCCAAACCAAACTGACCCATACAGTGTTATAGCTTTAGAATTATTGGAATTTTAACCCAACCAGCAGACTGTAGATTAACAAGTAGCTGTCAAAGAGAAATTGGTTTTTAGTTGTGAATCCAACAAGTCATGAGGTATATAGTTGTATGTTAACTTTCACCTTTTGAATTGCATCTTGTGTACATAGTAGTATTTAGAGAGCCGTTAGCTTGCCAACCAGTTCAGTTAATTTCTAATACTGGTTAGCCGTTATTTGTAACAGTAATTAGTTTAAATAGTCAGACTACTTTAGGGGGTTATACTTTTAAAGCAACCCTCTTCCTTGGGTAAATAGCTTGCTTACTTTACTCTTGTGATTAAACAAATAAATCTTGAATTTTGCACATTGTATCCCCGTGTAATGTTTTATGTATATTTAGTTAGCTAAGTAGTTTAAATATCAATTAAACAAGTGTAATTTAAATTACAGTTATGAAAGTGATTGCACATTATAGTATTTAATTATTGTTACCTGCTACGTCATTGACTGATTCAGAATAAGCACGACGAGCTATGTCAAGAAGCCCATTGATATTTGGCTGAAAAAAAATTAAGATGTTTAAGAAATTTACAAGAATAAAAACGTTAAGTGTTAGAAATCATAAACAGAATAGTACTTTACCAGGACTAAAATACATCCATAGACAAAATTCAGTGATACATAAAAATAATAGTTAACTGAAACGGACTATATGTAATTCTGACATAAAATAAATAAAATTACATTACGTTTAAAAAATGTTCGATTTAGGTAAAAATAATAGTTTGAAAAGCGTGAATTACATTTTACGAGATTTAGATTTGTTGCTGCATCTTAACTATTTTAACTGTTAATATAGTACATATTAAAGTTACGTGCTAAGAATTAAAAAAAAAGGAAACATTTCTTTATAAAAATAACAGAATGAAATTATTACAAAGCAATTGTGAATTAAACAGAAAATTTCCTCAAAATGACATAATACTTGATAATTTTAATTTGTTAATGAATTAACAATTTTAATTTATAAACAAGTTTCAGTTATTAAATATGTAAAAAATGCTGTAAATTTCGTTTCACTTTACTTTGATTATTTAATTTGTAATTAACATGCACTTTAAACGGCAAAATAACACAGCTCAAAATTAAAGATGTAAAAATATACATAGAAAATTCATATATTTTAATAGCTGAACAATTTAGAAGAGAAAAATAGATAATTCAGAAGTGTAAGATGATTATTCTAAATCGTCGGTTGACAAGAGAAATTAGGCTAGTCCTCTTAACATTTTAGACATTAATATTTTTATGTATATTTTCACTTAACATGCAATGGTATTAGAGAAATATCGTTTTATCTGTTCTGAACACGCGCGTCACTCGAGTACAGTCGGGTTTCTACGTAAATGGAATATCTCCATTTGCTTCTGCTCTTCTCAGTGGTCCCGATAGTTTGCTTACCGTGTTTTTCGGGTTAATAATTTTTCAGAAGAAGTAAAAAATAATTTTAAAAAATGGATTTTATTTGTTGAAATATTTTCTCGTATGTTCTCATTTGTTCAAATATGAAATATTATATCCGTCATTTCAAAGAGGAATATTATACAATTTCAAGATTATTAATAATATTCAAACTAAGAAGTAGTCTAATATTAACTGAAATAACACACCTTCACCTTCATACCAAGACATGCACCATATAGGTAGAGCTATATTTAAAGAAGAATTGTTGAAGATATTAAAGGAAAAAAATCAATTTAAGTTGCATGAATTTTCAGGACTAGTTTAAGGTTAAATCTCCTCCGTCATTTGACTCTTGCAGCTGAAGAAGAAGGCTGTATTTAATCTTCGAAACTAATCCTGCAAATTTATGCTGCTTACGCTGATTCTTGTTGCTTTAATACATTCAACATTAAAATGTACTCTGTTTTGCTTGCTTTATGTTCTTTTTTAGATTAAAATTATTTTTAATTAATTATTTATGAATTCTATCAAATGAAAAAAAATTTTGTTTAATATGGTAGGATTACTCTGATTTTGTCTCTTAGTCCGATTTTCACGAATTTAACATTATGCATTATTGTATTCATTAGTATTCATATTCAAAGTACAGTAAACCCTGCCACGACGACCACCTCTCTAAGATGACCATTTCTGAAAGTGACTCCTTGTTTCTATAAGGATGCTTCACTTACAAAATTCGATCTGGCAAAGATAAGCTATCTAGTGCTTTTTGTGATTTGTCATGGGAATGGAAATCGGAGCTCAGCCAAGAGGTCAAAAGTTTTGCCATAAGCTCATTTTCATAAATGCGCTAAAGAAATTCGTGTCTGTTGGTGAATTTTTCTACTATTTTTAGATGTTTCCAAAAATTTGCCTGTTTAGAAAAGCTGTTATTGTAAACTGCTCCCTAATCTCAGTTTCTTTTTTTTCGCAAATTTTTAACGCCATCTGAATTTAAGAGGGTAACCGTAAAACTGAGGTTATGATAGAGTTAAGACTGAGCAGTAATTCGCCAGGTGCCGTTAAAGATATTACTTAAATTGCTAAGTCCTACTTTTTTAGAGAATCAGGCTTTTGAGAAATAGGATGCAGTTAAGACACCAATTCTGGAAGAATTTTCGCCATCGGTTAACAAGGAAAGTTTCTTTGAAGTTCCATAAGTTCAAATTAGCAGCGGTACTGCAATTGGAAGACCTAGCTATGTACACAGCATGTTTGAAAAATCAGCCTTTGGGGAAAATAAAAAACAAAATCTAATGTGGACACAAACATGACTTCCTTGTACGCCCGCCTATGAAATTACACACATTTTTTGCTGCACTTCATTTGAAAGTGAGGTACGATTTTCCTGCTATAGTAGTTCCATATATAAAATTTCAACATTCTGGGATTAATCGTGTTGAGTTATGCGACATAGATACTTACGTATGGACATCACGTCGAAATTAGACAGAAGTCCCAAATACAAAATTTTACGACGAACCGTTTTTGAATTATCCGGCGTAGTACCTATAAAGGTAACGACGGAACTAATCAAAATGGATTCGGGAATGGTCAATATGAATATTTTCATTGAAATGAGAAACCAAAATGTTTGGCAATTACAATACTTCCTTTACTTTGTACGTGGAAATAAAAAAAAATTAAATTAAAAATAACTCATGGGAATTCCATCTTTCATCAAGAGAAAAACAAGTTTTTTGACTGATGAATTCTTCAAAAACCATATAGGACTTGTCGTAGTGGAAAAAGAATTTGTAATTAACCCTGGCAAGTAAAAATGTTTATATTCTACGGCAATTTTCTAGTTTCCGGTAAAAGAACAAAATTCTGAACTATTGCAATAGCACTGATAGATTTACAGTACTAGTAGCAAGAAATGTAGAGTATGCAAGTTGGAAAATTCAAAATATCAGCAATGGGCTCTTAACCCTTCTCTGAACACTTTAAAGAGATTTAAAAAACTTTCATATTCACTGATACTAAAAGAAAACTAGTTTCTTTAAAAGCAAATGTTTTAAAAATGGTTTATTCACTTTCTTTTAAATGTTTCTTATCGAGTCATTAGGGTGTTACTCATAAATAAATAAAAGTTATCAACTTTTTAATTGCATTCAAACTTAATCAGAAACAAAACACGGCTTTTGATTTAGGTTTATATATAGAGTTGTTCTAATATAGGTATTTTGACACAAAATCGAACTTTTTCTGAAATGACATGCCATTTTTTCCTATATTTCGAGTCCACGACTCAAGTTATGCCTAGGCATTAAAGTCTGTAATTTTTGGTGAGAAATTTATGACGAAATTTTAAAAAATTAGCTTGGTGACTTTTTTTTTCAGTTTGAACCAAGAATAATTCATTTAGCAAACTTCTTTATTTATAGCAACCTAATTTTCGTTTCCTTTTTTTCATTGCAGAGGAGAGGAAAAAAGGTCATCGTTCATACTTTCAAATAATTTTAAATTTAAAGTGCGTAAACCATATTTGGCGTTATTTTGAAATTTGGCATATTTGTTATAGACAAATATGCCAAATTTCAAAATGTGCCAATATGTAAATTTACGTATATCTTAAGAAATTTTCAGTAAAAAAACTTTAATTTTTGGCAGGTATGCTTAAAAATAAATCTACTTTAAGATGATTATAAAAATTTTATAGGTTATAATTCAAAATGTTTTTCGAAAAATTTATAAAAATTATTTTAAAATAAATAATAAAAAAACGGGCGAATTTTATTCGAAATGAGCCTTATTTTTGAAATGGGAAAGGAAGAATCGAATACGTTTTGTAGAGACATTAGGTATATTTGGAAGCTGGCAAGATGAAAAATTAGCAACGCCTTCGCCGGGAATCGAACCGTGGACCTCTAAATTATGCGCTGAGCGTGAAGACCACCACACCACGAAAGTTCGCTAAGAAGGAGAGAGAAATGCTTTATATATTTCCCCTTTTAAAGGGTGACTGGGATTTTTAGGGAACCCAATCGCCAAATCCTGGGTCAGGATAATCATCATCCAACACCCTTTTAGTTCGGGCGCCACTGTAGAGACATTAGGAATTTGTTTGGAGGCCGGAGAGATGAAAAATTAGCATCGCTTTTCGCCGGAAATCGAACCGCGGACCTCTCAATTACGTGCTGAAGGTGCAGACCACTACGCCACGAAGGCTCGCTAAGAAGGCGAGAGAAATACCTCATAGTTTAATAAAAAAAAGAGATATTAATAAATATATACCAAATTCAATTAACATGGAGGAGCTAAAATTTTTAGAGCTAATATTTTAAAAACTACTCGTGCGATTTTTACAAAACTTGTCACTTTGGCATAATTTGAGTCGTAGAATAGAAATATGGAAAAAAATTAAATATCAATACAGAAAAAGTCCAATTTTGTGTAACAATACCTATATTAGAACAATGCTATATATAAATCTACATATCATCCTAAGTCGCGCTTTCGAGACATGAAAAACGCAAGTTGAATTTCATCAATCGGCCCAGAAGACCGGCAGATATAGAACTATCCCCACTTTTTTTTTTTCTTTCCTCCACACTGTACCTTAGTGTTTATTGAAATGGGAAAAATTTATTCCATTTTTGCATTCTTAATTTCTGCTCATGCGTCAGATAAACCAATAACATCATAAAATATTAGAAAAATTATATTTATTAACCTAAATATCCAAACCTTTAGATGATATATATAAATGAAACTTACTTTCACGGCAAAACACTTCTGCATGTGCATATTTAAAACTCCTTTTTGAAATCGAACATCGCTGTGAATAACGAGGCCTATCTTTTCCTGTAATTCTTGAAAGCGTTCATCTGACAAAGCCTTTAAACGTAAAATGCAAAATCAGGTATTTATTGAGCTCTTTAAAATTTAAGAAGAATAAGCTACCTAGTTTTTTTTTTAATTTAATTTAACCGAAAAGGTATTTTTTATAAGATTAAGAAAATTTAAGTTTTAATTTTAAGATTAAGAAGATTCAAGTTTTAATTTTAAGATTAAGAAGATTTAAGTTTTTAAAATTATATTTTAATTTTAAAATTAATTTTAAGATTCAGCTGCAAAATTAAGGTAAAATGATTTTTCGTGAAATCGTAACTGTGAAAAATAAATATCCTGATTCATTTGAAAACATATTGGTATATTAAAATTAAGTTCTCTTAAAAAGTTTTTTTTTTTTTTTTTTTTTTTTTTTTTTTCCTCCCATACTTACATAATTTAGTTAGGTATCTTTGTTTATACTTTCCCACTGAAGAATAGCCAATAGTTTAAAATTTACTAAAAATATACTAAAAGCAATAAGAACCTGAAGTTAATGAATATATATGGACACTGCGTATTTACTATATTTTCCTTTGTTGAATTGGGCGTGACCTCTAATGACCATGAGACCAACTTGTTTGGTTAGGTGGGTCGGGCTGCGCCCACTTCAGACACCTTATAACTACTGATTTAAGCAGTTTGACCATTCAGTGTGCAGTTGCTAGTCATGATGGATCGATGGCCTTGAATTTTCAATCCTTTCATTACCTGTGTATGCGGTTAATGCTTATTTAACTTAAATAAAAATAATCACTTCGAGTGTTTTTTTTTTTTTTTTTTTTTTTTTTTTTTTTTGCACGCTTTTCCAGTCCCAAACTTTTTAGAAAAATTTTGTTCTCGTTATAATGAATAAAATACAAAAGGTATAATTAACTAACCCGCTCGACTAAAATTGTTCGAGATATTTAATATTCGATTGGAGATCCTATTCAGAAGCCATACCCAAATTGAAGAGTAAAATGTCTGCATTTGTACATGACTAAAATAAAATATCAGTTTTGAAAAGTCTTCTCGTGCTAAGAGGTTTAGGTGCATTTTCTGGGCAGATTACTATGAAAAATATTGTTATTGATTATATATACAGTGTACATAAAAATTTTGCCTTTCTCGTGAACTTGCACTTGTTAATTTGGCATGATTTGTTGAAAAATTGCTTGCAATTAAGGTGGTTTTTTTTTTTTTTTTTTTTTTTTTTTTTGTTTGTTTGTTTGTTTTTTCCCCCCGTTAGAAATGGCAAAGATTTTTCATGCTTCGAAAATCAAATTTTTAACTTCGTTTTAAGCTTCGAATCTGGTGACTTAAAAGGTTTTTAATGGTTCATACGTAGTCTTTTCCTATTGACCTCGGATGATAATTTTAACGGGAAAAGAAGTTTTTGTTTTTGGCATGGGTGACGTTAAAGACGAAAAGGGTGGAAATGTGAGGAATGGAAAAGTACAAATTTTGTATAGGTTTGTTCTTGGTGTGGGCGATGAAAATTCTCACTTCTTTGAGAAAGTCATCTGAAATGTAATAGCCTCTGCACTTAACCCCGGTGCAACCTCGAGAAGCAAGGCCTGTCGTCACCCGCCTCGCTGATGCAAATGCGCCGGGGAGCATAAAGCTGGGATTGCCCAAAACCCGGTGGATTATGAGCCGAAGAGTTGCAATTGCCTATAAAAGCACACTAGCAACTAGAGTTATTGTGAGGCTTTCCCCAAGCAAAAGCCCAGTCTTTCTGAAATCGAGGACAGAATTATCATTCACTCAAGCCGTCACCGCCCTACACTCAAGCCATCAAGACAGATATTTTTACTGGCAAAATCAAAACGTGGTCATGGACTCCCAGTAAGTCATAAAAAACTTTCTAGTCTCATTGCACTACAACACAAAACTATTAGCATTGCCGAAAGGGGCTCGAAAGTAACATGAATTAGAGATCGTAGGCCCCTAAATAAGATGCTTCATGTAATGATTATGGCGTGGAAACGTGCAAAACTTCACTGGCAGACAATGAATTGCTGGACTTCCTTGCAAGACGCAATATTGACTTGGTCCTCATCTCAGAAACTCTCGCTCATTCGCTAAGCATTTCTAATTATCGCAGTTACCGCTGCGACAAGGTACGACATCGTGGTGGGGGGGGGGGGGTGTTCTCATATATGTGAAAAGGAGCTTTCAATTTTTCTTCTATGCCTCTGATAACAGTCTATGTTTTGAAGAAGTCAAGGCTATTGAACGAATTCCAAACTGGGGTAGTATGATACTGTCTTCTTTTTACAATATCCCCGATCTTAAATTACAGGGTATTCACTTCACAACCTTCTTGGCAACCTATACACTACCACAATCGGCGGCGATTTAAACGCCAAACATATCATCTGGGAATGTCGTAAGACTAACAAAAGTTGTTAAATTCTCTTTAACTTTTTTATAATAATCCATTATACATTTATCCCCCAGAAGAATACACTTTTCGTCCCATCAACCCGTGACCCGGTTTCAACGACCTAATAACATTCCAGTTATTACTGAGGTTGTCAACGATCTTTCCTCGAATCACACTGAATACTGGCGCACTTGAGAATACATAAACCGGGTACCATCAATACCTATAAAATTACTTACTGAAAAAGTTCGAAAATGACATTAACAAGCACCCCTCTCCCAATCCATTGCTCAAAACAATAGAAAATATTGATCATGCAATCCTGAACTTAATGGTATCCAGAACGCATATAAAAATTCCACTTCTTAAGTCAATAATAGAAACTATCTTTTCAAAATCCCACAAGACGTTAAAAACATTATCCAATCGAGAAACACGTTACGGAAGTTTAAAAATATTCACCTGAACCCAGCGGTCAAATCAGAAGTCAACAAATTAAAGAGAAAAACTCAACATTTGATTGAAGAGCACAACAAACCCTTTAAGGACGACACAGGTTTCATATATAATAATGAAGATTAGGTGAATGCTTTTGCCACTTATTTTGCTAAACAATTCACGCCTAACAATTATCCCTCTGATCCCAACTTTATCTGTCATGTAGACAACTAGGTAAAAAAACTGGATACGCTAGCCCAGTGCCACTAACCTTACGACCTTCACCTCCCCTGCTGAAGTAAGCACCATCATTTCTAAGCTTCATAAAATAAAAGCACCTGGCAAGGACAACATTTCAAATCTTATGATCAAGTATCTCCTTGGAAAAATTATGAACAGACTATGTAGCATTTGCAACGCCTGCCTGTACCTGAGTTACTTCCCATCAGAGTGGAAACATGCAGTTGTTATAATGAATCCCAAGCCTGGGAAAGACGAATCACGAGTAGATGGTTACAAGCCAATCAGCTTGCTCCCGTTTTGGGCAAGATCCTTAAGAAGATCATCTATAAACTCATATATTCAGAGCTGAATTCTGTTCCAAGCTAATAGTTTGGATTCCGCAGTGTGCTTTCGACAACCAAGCTGTTAAAAAATTTTATCAACTTTGTACTATTAAAATTTTTTGATCATTAAATAGATAAGTGAAAGTTCACTTACCTTCTAAATAGGGCTGCCCTGAACTGCCTGCTTTTCCTTCTTGTAGGTATCCGTCTCTATGATGAACTTCGATTCACTTCGAAACACAGCTATAAACTTTTTAAGAAATTTTAATTCGTATGAAAGATATCTACAAAATATTTACAAGTTATAATGATTACAAGCATAATTTATACGGAGACGGTCTATCGTTATACATCTGTTAGACGCGTCAGCCGTTCAACTGACTACTTTTAGTCTCTTTCGCCAGAGGGCGTTCGTGGAAGTAAAGTTCTAGTAAGCAAACGCGACACTCCCACCTTGAGGTCCAGTATCAACAGAGGATGGACCTCAACTGACCTGTAGTTCAAGTCTTTTGAGATTTCGTCATACGTCGAGTTCTGTACCTCACTAGCATATCCTACTCAGGTGTAAAGTTGAGTTCAAGAGGTATGAGGTTCTTAGTAGGTCTTATAATCTCCCCTTGTGCAGTTTTCAGTTTCACTAATCTAATGTGTCCGTCGTGGGATGGAAAAATTTCCACGATTCTAGCTAAGGGCCAGTTTATCCTTTTTTCATTGTTGGACACAATTACAAGATCACCAACTTTCACAGAAGATGGTTCGCGGATGAATTTTGAGCTTTGTTTTAGTTGCCCTAAATATTCTGATCGAAATCTTTTTCGTAAATCTTTTCTCAATTTGGCTCTGTCAAGGTATCTCTTATTGATGGATTTAGAATCCAAAAGATCTAATTCAGGAACTCCAGTCTCTGGAATTTCTGTTAGAAAACATTGCTGGGGTGAGAGCTCTTAAATCCTTTACGTCTTCTGACAAATACGTGAGAGGACGGTTGTTCATAATGCTCTCGCAGTCACAAATGATTGTCAACAATTCTTCGTAGTTCAGAGAAGATTTTCCTAGTACCTTTCGAAGAATTCTCTTTAGTACTCCAATTAATCTTTCCCACCACCCTCCCCACCATGGCGAGGAAGGGGGAATAAATTTCCATTCAATTTTCTTAACTGTTGCATTTTCTAAGATAGAATTCCAATCTATGGTCTTAAACAAATTATTTGATCCAACAAAATTGGTTCCATTGTCAGAGTATACAGTGACAGGTCTATCCCCTTCGAGCGATGAATCGCCTGAACGCGTGCAGGAAACTTTCAGGTTGATAGAGATGAGACTAGCTCTAAGTGAACTGCTCTATATATTGCGCAAGTAAAAATGACGATCCATGTTTTTTGGCCTCCTTTTAAAATTAAGGGACCCGTCAGATCAACACCAATAATCTCAAAAATTAAAGCATCTCTTATTCTGTCTTCAGGTAGTGGCGCTTGAGGAGTCTTATATGAATCAGAGTCGAACCATCGACATCGTACACAGTTTTGGATAACCTTGCGTACTGTCTTCCTACTCTTTATGATCCAATATTTTTCACGCAAAGCGCACATAACGAATTGTACTCCAGCGTGACTTAGCCTTTCATGTTCAGA